AAAAAAAAAAAAAAAAGAAAAAAGAATAATCAATACAGCACTCCTGTACTGCACAGCTTTCTTTTGTGTTTGTCAGGCAAGCAGAAGGGCTCTCTGTCCCCAGTACCGCACTGGCAGAAAACAGGTGAGCTGTAGCTGACAGCAGGGTCTTCCTAGTGACAACTGGAAAGCTGCTGCTGTTCTACTGCTATTGATCTAAGCGGAATACAAAACACCTGAAGTCAGCAGGGAAAAATAGCTGCAGTTGGAAAAGAAACTGCGGGGGGGGGAATCAGGGAGGGGAGAGCAGGTAAAAAGTTCTCCATGCAGAAAATTAATGGCTGGGCTTTTTATTGCAGCTATCTTGCCCTCCCGTGGGCCCAAAACATCCTCAGGCCAACAGCCGTTGCCTGCTCACTGCAGGTGCCAGCGCATCACACGCCCCGGAGACGCGAGCCCCGCCGAGAGCAGAGCCCGTCCGAGGGAGCAGCCCAGGCCACGCACCGGTTTGGGTTTGTCCAAGCGCACGCCACCATGGCTGTAGCTGGAGCTCGGCCTGGAAGGGGTTTGGTTACCTCCCCTTTCTACCCCCGCTCATCTCTGACCCTGAAAGGAGCAGGCACCCAGCCAGCTCTTGTTCAGTAAGTGGCTTCCTTGGGAACCTTCCCTGTTGTGACAGCTCAAACATTACAGCGACTGCCAGAACCAAACCACTCAAGGAAGAGATCCCCTCCCCCTTCTGACATTGACAACCGAGGCAGCAGCAGGCAACACCGCGTGCAGGAGTCTATTTAAAATGTCACCGAGGCACCGGCTGATGGAGGACACCGAGGCGTCCTTCCCCCGCCCTGGAGGTGATGCTGGGGTGGGTTGCTTTGCGTTTTTGTTGTTCCTTTCCTGTGGTCTGTGCCTGCTGCAATCTGACAGCCTCTAATCGCTCAGCATGAACCAGAAACGTCACTCGCATCTGTACTGATGATGGTGCTACTCACAAGCGCAAGAACATACGCAGGCTCAGCCACCCACCCCAAAAGCAATGCCCCTAAGACATCTCGCCCCTCAGCTCTAACCTTCAGGTCTTTTCTGCTTCCCTGTCACTCGAAAGCCGCATTTCTGTCTCTTTCTCCCCCTCTCCAATTGACAGAGTCAATCCACAGGGCAACTTTTCTCTTTAAAGGGAACGCCACCAGTTTCTCAGGGACAAGGGGCACAAGGTGGAGGAGCTCAAAGAGCCAAGTGCATGCCGGTCACGATGATTTCTCAGCTATGAAATCCACAAACAGGCCCACCGTCTCTCCTTGCCAGCCCCAGAGGGGGTCCAGATCAGTCCCACCTCCTGCAGCAGCAAGGCCTAAACAAGCTACAAGGAGCATAACACGCAGAGGACTGAATTCCTCGCTGCAACAGCAGGCAGCTTCCTGACATCCTGCTCCCATTTTGCTGGGAGACAGGAGCCATCTTGAGCCCTTTGCAGACTTGTTTCCTGGCACTGCGAACAGTTACATCAACAGCAGACTCATCAGTTGGGCTGCGACTGTTCTTCTCCTCACATCCTAGAGCATATCGCTCCTCTCCTTCCTCAGTCCAATTCCTTTACCAAATTACAAATAAAACTCATTTTCTGGGTCCTTCCAGCCTTTTCCACCCACAATTCAACCACTCCGCTTCCCCTTCCACGCTTCGTCTTTGTCCAACCATTCAGTCCAAGATCTGACCTAATTAGCTGATTGCCAATTCCAGCTGTGGATGCACACTGCTTTGTTAGAGCAGTCTTTTAAAGCAATAATTTCTATCAGGGAGGATTTGAAATGAAGAGGCCTCAGAAGGCCTTCGGCTGAAAGGTGTCCAACAGGAATTTTTAAGAGTTCAAATGGATTCTGAAAATAGCAGACTGGGTTCCTAACTCTTACTTAAGGCCTGGCATTCTGCAGCTTGGAGGGCAGGGAAGTATCTGGGAGGTTTTGCAGCAGAGGCCCAGAGGAGAAAGTGAGTTTGTGAGATCCTTGAGCAAGGGATCATCTCTGGGTCTAAATGCTGATGTCCCAACACACCACGCTGAGTGCGAGACACTTTAAGGCAATAAGTGCGTTGTTTCTGACAGCGGAAACGTCTCTGAAGATCAGTCAGTAACACGATGACGCAGGCAGGTGACCTTGGGTCTGCCCCACAGGCTAAGCCACCAGGGCTCGTCTTCTCAGGGCAAGGGGCTTAAATAACTAAAAGGAAAAGGATGAGTGAATTTCCCTTACCCAGCTTTTTGCCCCCTGCCCCGCTCACCTCTAACTCTTGGATTCAGCAGGGACTCGAGGAAGATTTTACCAATCTTACCCCACACCCTGACAAAACATGATTCAGAGAAACTAACTCCATTACAGCACCATTCATCTGTCCGTAAGACACGTGCGTGGCTTCTCTCTTCCCCGGCGAGCCCCAAGCAGCCGTTCTCATCCTCACCCCAGCATCTGCAGCTTTAGCTCTAAAGCAAGCCGGAGGCAGACGCTGCCCCCAAACACAGCCCTGGCCCTCGCTGCACCGACAGCTCTGAGGTCCCACACCGGGATAAACTAACACCAGCACCAACTCAGCAGCCACCACGGCTGACGAGCCACGGTTCGGGCTCCCCGGGCCCCTTCCCACTCCAGTTCACTGGGGATGCTACTCTCCACAAAGCAGCACTGGTGAACAGACAACATCCAGCCCAACCAGGCCACCCTCCGCCCACCCCTGTCCACATCCACAGAGGAGAAGAACAAAGCCAGAACGATCCCCCCAAACAAAATGACACCAAGAAAGAACTAGAACAAAGAATTGTTTAATTGCTTAACCCTTTCTCTTCCAGGGACCAGAGAAACAAGTTTTCTGCTCCTTCTAATGAGGGCAGTAAGGCTTGTGTGTTACCTCTACAACTGCAGGGGCAAAGTTTACGAGATGATCATCTTTAGTACTTGAAAAAGCGAGAAGCAATGGTCATTGCAACACTAAGAGAATCCTAGAGTCTCCTAACGGAGAGCCCATTGCTAGAATACAAAAATAAAGGAGGCATCCCTGCGTATCCCAGGCTAGAAAGAGTTAACCAGAAAGAGCAGGAAGAAGCTTTCCCAAAGAGGGGTTGAAGTAAACAGCAGAGGTCAATAAAGCAACATTTTCTCCCTACTTCCCCAGCATGTTTTTTTTTCCTTTACCAATAAATACAAATTCCTTGTTAACAAGCGACAAAGCAGGTAATCTGCCCACAACAAGGGGAAAAGGGGCTAGAGGCAAAAAGATTTTCCTCTCCCCTTCTCTCCCATTATTATTTATCGTTTTTTAACCCAAGCCGCCATTAAAAAAAGCAATCCACTGCAGAGGCAGGGAATCTTGTAGCTTTCACACTGCAACTGGCAGGGAAGGGAGCTCCCCT